AATGACATTAAGATAATCTTTATTTTGAATTATATATTTAAAATAAAAATTATTTAAAATATATAAAAAAATTCAATATGGAGCATTCAAAGTCAATCTGAATAATTCACATTAAGATGAGAACTCTATGCTCATCACTGTGATAAGCATCAAATGTGCTCTTGTTGAAGTATATAGCACTAATTAATAACTATGATAGAAAGAGCAAACCTTAAACTTCTAACACACATATCATAATTAAAGAAAATAAATGAAATCACCACAACTTATCTACAATAGAAAAGAGATGGACTTATTTAATTATAGATAAAAAATTTTAATAGAACATTCACAAGCTACCCATATTAGAAAAGAACAGATTTTGCCGAACATGATTATTAAGAGACAAACTCTTAAATAACAATAATAAGAAAAAATGACATAAAAAGAAGTTAAAAATTACAATATTCTAATTTAGGCAGTTAAGATATCAAAATTTTAGGAAAGGAAGTGATGTCTGATATGCTATTTTGTAAATATAGTTAAATAGCAAAAATACCCTTATATCAAAGGGTTTATTAATAAGTTGTGAATTGGCAATGACAAGTGTTGAATAAAAAAAAAAGTGTATTGGCAATGACAAATTATTATTTATTAATAAATTGTGAACTGGCAAAGATAAGGGTTGAATAACAAATGTCAAGAAATGTACTGGAAATGACAAGTTTGATAGCTTTTGTTTTTTTATAAAAAAAAAGATATAAGGATATTTTAGTCATTTGACTATATTTACAAAATATCAGATCAGGTATAGCTTCCTCTCTTGAGATTTTGACCTCTTAGGTACCTAATTGTAATATTGCAATTGCCAACTTCTTTTTTTTTTTTTGTCATTTTCCCTAATAACAAGTTTCCTCATAATTGGCTTGGATGTATATGTTTGCTGCTCTGATATGTTTAGACATATATTGGTGATACGTACATAGTTTGTTTCTTTGTGGCTTGTTGGGAAATGTTGTTGCTATGATACTTAATATAATTTACTCCTAAATATAAAACCCCTAATCTTTTTTTGTCTTATATATATATATATTTTTTTAAGTAGTCCTTTTAATACTTGTACATGTTAAAGATTATATCAAATGGTAGTTTTAGCTAATACATATTATTAGCAATGATATTTTAGGAAAAATAACATCTATTTATTACAAATAACTAACTAAACTAATTTTCTTAATATCTCCAAATTAATTAAGTAAATTTTATATTAAGAAGAGGTAGTACTTTGTGTGCACGCTTGTAACGTGGAGGATCATAACGGGTCATTCCTCAACCTTTCGGGCATATACATATGCCCACTCAGGAGTACAAGTTATATCGCTTTCCTAGGTTGCAACGAGCCAAACATCATATACCTTAGAGCACAGATATGCCAAAATGTGTGAAAGAATCAACAATATATATTTAGCAACTACTCGATCAGTCAAGCATTTTTTTAGGCCTGTTTCCCTATTGATACTGTATATATATTATACTGATTAATATGTTGGGGTTAATTTTGTTCTGTTGTTAGTGTGTGTGTATTAATTTTAATTGGTTTGTTATCTATACAATAGAAGAGGATGATGATTGGTCAAAATGTTTTTATTCAATAAATGTATGTCCAACTATTAGAATGTTTCAACTTATTTTGAGCATAATTATAAATAGCAACCAATATATATATTGTTATTACCTAACAATTATTTTTTCAAAAAAATTCAAATTGTTATCTTTCCTGAAACTGGAAGAGAAATCATAATTTAGTAAGAAGTATGTTGAAGTGATCTCCAAACCACCCATCGTCAAATTATTAGCCTTTTACAACAAATCCACATATCACAAAGGGTTGATATAGGGATATATAAGGGCCTTTGGAATACTTGGATTTGTTAATTACGGAAAAACCAATATCTTTGTAATAAGGATTTATGAGACTAGTATAGAGCATCCTTCTTACTAATAAATTAAAATTTATTATTAGTCTTAGAATAATTTTTTTAAAAAATATTAACAGATTTCCACACCGATTGTGATAACAACCAGTGTACAATTGTGATTTTCTACATTGGTTGTAGAACCAGTTTAAAAAGTCCAATACTTTCTATATTAGTTGTATCCATACTGGTTTATACAGCCAGTGTTAGAAAATCTTTTTAATTGGTGTAAAAATGTCTTTCTATACTGGTGCATATACTAGCATAAGATTTCATAGTTGTCAGTGAATTTTATTGGGAGTAGCAAACATGAGGTAATTGACTTGATCGTTACATGATCCTTAATTACAAGTAAGAAGAACATTATGGGTATGTTTGGATTGGCGTTGGGCAAAACTGACTTCTAGTCCAACTGACTTTTCTAACTGAAGTTAGTTATGGTATGTTTGGATAGATGCTTTTAAAAGTCAATTGAAAAAGTTAAAAGTTGTTTGGATGAATAGAAAAGTTAGTTTAGTTATAAAATGACTGAAAATGGCATATACTATATTGAATAGTAGTGTTTGATATTTTTAATATGATAATTGTGAAAAAAAATCTAAAATTATTATGATAAAATAAAAATAATTGATTTGTGAGATTATAAAATAAAAATATATGTTACCAAGAAAAATTTAAAAACACATTATAGATAATTAATTAAATATATATAATGGACAAACATGAATATAAATTAAAATTCATTTCATCTCTAATTAGAGTAAATAAAACTACATAAGTAATTAGATCGTACTTAATGGACAAACATGTACATAAATCAAATTAAAATTCATTTGGTCTCTAACTAAACTAAATAAAATGACATAACTAATTAGATCGTAAGCTTTGCATAATTTGGTCTCTAATTGAGTCACGAACACGATTCATTTGTGTAGTAGATGTTAAACTTGACGAGGATGCCTCACCAGCTAGATGATTATTGTCTTCATCTATTATACTTCCATGCTCAGCTTGTATAAAGCGGTCATCAGTTGGAGAATTTTGCCTGATAAAATTATGGACAGCCATTGTTGCACAAACTATGCGGACTTGTGCTTGAAACTTGAATCTGGGCATGTCTCTTAAGATTGCAACCCTATTCTTCCAAACCCCAAAAGTTCTTTCAATAGTGCATCTCAAACTTGAATGATAATAATTGGAGGCCTCATTCTCATTTCCAAATCCTGGCTGACGGTTAAAGTCTGGAAGGTGATAGCGCTCACGTTTGTACAAGCCAAGGTATCCCACTTGTGATGAATAACCAGCATCAAACAAATAAAATTTGCCTAGAAAATCATGACTCAATTATGTTGAGGTGAAAATACTGCAATTGAAGCTTAATTTTAAAATAATTGATTTGAAATTTACAAAAATATACCTTCAGGTTGATTAGGGAAATTCATGGATGGAGTTGAAATAGCAGATTAAAAGACACGAGCATCATGTGCACTACCTTCCCAGCCCACCAACACAAACGTGAAGCACATATCCCAATCACATACGGCCATGACATTTTGACTTGGAAATCCCTTCCTCCCAATATATTTGTCTTGCCTAGCTTGACTAACTTGACATTTTATATGGGTGCCATCAAATTGTGCCGATTGCATCCTTAAAAAATAGGAAGTATCGTGGATCATTTGCTATTTTTGGGTGGCAATAGGAGAATGCAGGATCAATAGGCTTGATATTTTCTGGAGATAAATTGAGGCAAACATCCAACACTCTATGAAAATGCCGACTGATAGTTTCTCCTAAACGCTGAAACCTTTCTTAAATCATCTTATTACACTGACCATACGCAATTGTATTCAAGAACATGGAAACAGATTCCTGGACACCTATGTACTTAGAATTTTGCAACCCATGTTCAACCAATTTAGAACATAACCGATGGAATATCTTTGTTTCCATTCGAAACATTTCCTTAGACCGTCCTTCATGCCCATGCAAAAGTTCTTGAACCCATAAATAACCTGTTTATTCGCTAGTTTTGCATGGCTGTTTGCATAGAAAAGGTGTCACATACTGACCCATTAACACACTTAATTGTGATAATTGTGTTGTTTGTTCATGTAAGGCAGGAAGTAATTGAGACCGTTCGTCGTCCCAACCTTCGCCCCAACCATTTGTTGAATCAAACATGGATTATGTTACCTGTGAGCAGTTAAATATTAAATGTGAGTACTATTTTCACAAAAAAAGAAGAGAAAAGATAAGTGATAAATAGCCATTAAATTGTAACATAATAATTATACATAGTCATGAAACACAACATTAAACGTAGTCATGAAACACACAACATTCAACAAGGTCATGAAACACACATAATCATTAAACACATTGTCATGAAACACAATAACCAAGTACATTAAGATAAATAAACAAAAATCATAATAAGTCACTAGGCACAACTCAAGGATTCTTGGGTACAGCATATGGCGGCGGGTTTGCAGCATTGTGCTTCAACCAAGCTACTAATACCTCCCGATTTTCTCTTAAACCAGCATATATGTCCCTGAATGTCTTGTTTGCCAGCAGATTACAACAGACGACACATAGATGAGTGTCACTGACAATTTCAGGCATACTCAGCAGATCATTGGTAAGCTCAATAGTGTTATCATTGTTGGAGATTTTGTTTATTTTCTCTGCTTAACTAATTGAAGCCTTCTCAATCAAACTCACTGAATCTGTTATTCTTCTTGTCATTGGCATTTTTTGCTTCTTGTACTTGTCCAACCCTTCACCTCTCTTCCTCTTTCCTTGACTCCCTAAAGCACTAGGTACAGTGGGTGTAGTGTTCGATGTGTTTGCAGTTAAATTGATGCCATCCAAATAGCCTGAAACTCTTGCACAGCGTCCAGTGTTGTCTTCACTATCCCCTGAACCTTCTTACCTATCCCCTGAACCTTCTTGCCAATCCATTGTTGGTTGGTAGTCATTTGGCTGATCACCCCTCTGTGGCTCAGGCCCGGTCCAAGATGGTGCCTACATATCATCTCCTCATGCCATAATGTCCTTGAATATAGTTTCCAATTCAGTGTGAAACCTTGACCCATGGTGCCTAAACTTTTCATATGCTGGATTTTCCTGCAAACTTAAAAGTAAACCAAAGTTAAATATATTCCAAAAGTATAATACTGCTTCTAAATTAACACAAGCTAGTTCATACCCGTAATTTCCTCTCCCACCACTCATCAGATGCCACCACTGTGTTCCTTTCAGGGTCCCATGCTATACTGGTCTCCTTAACAATTAGTTTATCAAATGTCTTCCACTCTTTTCTTAAGTTATCTAACCTATTTTTCAGTTGCTTTCTTTCATATCCTCTTCCTGTCTTTTCATTGAAAGTTTTATGAATGTTGTCCCAACCTTGTTTTGTAAATGAAGATCCTTGACAAAGTTTGCTATAAATCTGGTCAACACATATTTTGAGAAAAACACCTGTGGTGCTCATGTCCCAATGTGCTTTGCCTGTATCATTACTCATAGTTCTTGTTGAAATTACATATATATCAAACCCACAATTAGCCAAGAATCAAACAGTATAATCAAGCAGTATAAACCCACAATATATGTAAATCAATTTATCACCAAAAGTGCCTTAATTCAAGCAAACTTGGGGTATGCTAACCTTAATACTAGAATTTTTAGCTTAAACAAGACCATAACAGATTCAACTCAACAAGGGCGATGAATTGAAACGGAATAAACGTCACTAAAAATTGGCAAAGCTCTAAATTCATGTTTGGATCAAAATTTCAAACTCAATGCTCAATGTAGCTGGAAAAACCATAAAAAAATTAAAATTGGTCATAACTGAGTACGGATAACAAAAAACACAGAATCACAAAACATAATAGATTTGCTAAACTTTCAATATAATCAAGCAGTATAATCAATCGTGTGAATGATTTCTTTTTTCAATATTCAGATTGTTCATACATGCTAAATATATCCACATATCCAAATATAGCCGTGTGAATCAAAAGCTTCAACCAAGCCAGAATACATCCACATATCCTAGCTAAATATATTCACATATCCTTGATTACCATCTTTGTATTCCCCCCCCAAAGTTTAGAACATGGCACACTCATTTTAATTCCTTCACTTTCTTCCTTAATTATTGTTTGAGAATTCTCAGATGCAATCGAGAGGAGAAGCAGTAGATTGAAATGAGTTCAAGATATATCAATGAGTGAAAGCAAGTATCTGAATGGCGCGTAAAGATTGGAGATCAGAAATGGAGAAGTCATGCACTCTACTAGTTCACTTCGACAAGGGCACACTAGCACTTGCCAAACTATCATATGCTTTGGTCAAAATAGAACGTCTGCAGGAGAAGGGAAAAAAAACAGAAGATGATTCTTTGCACACACAACAGCAGCTATAACCAGAGGAGAAAGGAAAAAAAAACCCCGCCTCCTTCAGCCACGGTCAGCACAGACAAGGAGAACGGAGGATCTAAAGTCAAACAGGGAAAAGAAAAGAAAAGCAACCACGGTACCTTGAGCGGCAGAGGAAGACAGCGGCGATTCTTTGCACACACACACCGATGATGGTAAGGAAAATGACACAGATCTGTCGCAACAGTGATAGAGGGAGAACAGCCGTTGAGACCCACGGATGGAGACACTAGAGAGAGTGACGGACAGAGACACAAGCAACAGTGATGGACGGAGACCCGCGGATGGAGACGGCGAGAGAGTATCGAGAGTGATGGATAGAAGGCCGAATGTAGAGCAAGAGGAGCCTCCGTGTTGCTCGGTTGAGTGTTCTGAGGCTTCGAAGAGGGTTGGGTGGAAATGATAGGTGAGAGAAATTGAATACCTATTAATGTTCATTTAACAGTAAATTGCATTTTGAACGGTGGAAAAGCTGGAGCAGGCAGTGTCCGAAAATAAGCAACTTTTGCTTATAAGTTAGTTCCAAAAGCAACACATCCAAACAATCATTTTTACTTAAATAAGCTAGCAACCTCAGTTACACCCTTTCCTAGGTGCTTTTAGCTTCTCTGATGACAATCCAAACATAGCCTATATCAATGATTGAGTTGAGAGTTCATCAAGAACCAAACTTAGATCTTTCAAACTAAGATAAACTACAAGTCTTAGAGTTCAGGATTGAGGTTTTGTGACTTGTCCAAGACTTATATTTAGGTTGCAGCTCATGAATATACTATAAATTGCAAACTCAAACACCCAATTAAATTTAGTTCCTCCCATTCTTTTTTTTTATAACAAAATTTTAGGAAAGGGGTTGGGCTCACCCATGATCCTAGGGCAGAGCACCTAACACTTGATCCACTGGGGCTTGTCCTTATGGGCATGGAAGCTTGATAAGCAAACCCTTTTTTTCTGGCTCAATAAGTAGGAATCTCCCAGCTTCACTACGCTGTGGTGATGCCTCCCCCAGCTTCGAGACTGGAGCCACAACAAAGTGGGACTCCCCAGGATCGAACCCCTTCCTTTTGGTGAGAGAGTCCAATCCCTTCGCCAGCTGAATCTACGGACGAGGGGTTTAGTTCCTCCCATTATTTTTCTTAGGTGGGTTGGCACATATAGGCCAACTTCTAATGAAGGTATGTCTAGACTTAGCTACAAATTTGCAATGGCAAAGTATGTAAGAGGTCCAACAATAGTACCATTAGTGTAAGTACAGTAGGTTCTAAGTGATTATAATCTTTGCGATCATCAAAGAATTGGTGCTTTGATCTAAACCAATATGTTAGGGTTAGAGTTCATGAGTAGAAGAATGGTCGAAAGCCACCTTTACATCCTAATTTTTTAGTGTGAGTTGCTAGAGAAGGCAATGAAGATCCTCTATGGTGAATCCTCATTGGAAAATAAGGACCATACCCTACCATATAGGACATCCTCAAAGGATTGTCTCCTGAAATGTAGTCCACCTACAAATATTTAACAAAAATTGTGTTAAGAAAGTGAAATTAAGTGAAATTTGAGGATATTAAAAAAATTAGTTAAGCTAGTTATTTGTAATAGATAAATATTGTTTTTCCTAAAATACTCCTATTAATCATGTGCATTGAAAGTACCCTTTAATGAAAACTCCTTAACTTATATACTCCTCGGGTCTTTAATATAGGATCTAATTGTTGAGTTAGTTTTGGTCCTAAATATAAGACCCATTTCTCATATTTATCAATTTTCTCTAAATTACCCCTAGGGATACTCCCTCAACCATAATCAAGTAGAAGAGGAAGAGGAGGTATTAAGAAAGATGATTATGGTATTTTAAGAAAAATATGTCACATTTGTTATAATTAACTAACTTACCTAATTTCCTTGATCTAATCAAATTAGTTAAATAGGTCTTATATTAAGGACCGGAGGAGTACATATAGTCATTATAGGGATTACTTGGAGACAAAATGGATAAATCCTTGAGACAAAGTGAATTGGATCTTATATTTAGAATCAAATTTAATTTTTAATTAGCTCATGTATTAGGGATCGGAGGTAGTAAATAAGAGTCAAAAATCTCAACAATATCCATTTCAAATGATTTCTACTATACTCTTTTTGAGTCTTGGATTGGATGAGACTAAATTCTCTTCCAACTATATGAAATTTGAAATCAAGAACTTCCTTGTCTCTTTGCCAGACTTCTTAAGGTGTTTGGAGTGACCAAGAGATCCTTGAACATATGCTTTTCGAATGACATGTACTTGGAATAGGTTGTGAGCAAGAATGTTAGAGATGCCACATATTGAAGATTGCTTTGAGGAAGCTTGAAACATTAGCCCTCCTCCCCAACACCAAATGTATCTTTAATTAATTACAATTTCACCAAGGTACAAAATAAATAAAGAAGCATTCAAGTCATTTATTAGTTTTCTAATACATCTTCTTGTAAATTTTGCCCTTACCTTTTGTATATTGGGTGGTTGAATTGGGAGAGTTGGGCAAAATCTTGCACACAAAATTCTCAGCTTCTAGCCGGTATTGATCAAAGTTCTCATCATGATTTAACATTGCTCTCTGCATTAACATTTAAAACTAGTAACTCACATAAACCAAGGCATATATGTAATACAAATACATTCATCATTGAAAAATTACTCCTTTGTATGATACAAATTAAACAACCGAATTACCTATACTCCCTCCGGTCTTATTTATAAGATCTCAAAATTTGAATTTTTTTTGTTTCTTTTTATAAAATCTTATTAAAGATTGTTTGAACATTAAATGTGTTTTTATCAATTTTATCTATAATTAATTTTCTATTCTCTCTCCTAATCTTTTTCTCATATTTGATTCTCTTTCATCCTTTATGTCATTACTGGTATTTCTCTCTCTTATATGCTCCCTCATTAAATAAGGACATAATTGAAAAAAGAGCAAGGATTAATTTTTACATATTTGTTGCTTTTAACTAATTTTAACACTTTTTTAAACAGTATAATTTAGTTAATAGGATCTTATAAAAAGGATAGGAGGGAATACTAAAAAGTTGGTTAAAATTGTTTTAAAACAATAAGTATATAAAAATATATAAATTATTTTTTTAAAAAACTTTTTCATGGAGAGAGAGTGAGAGAAAGAATGAGCAAACCCATAATTAATACACTGAGATTACCCATAATTAATAAAGGTAAAAATAAAAATGATAGTCCCTCCAATACTAAATATATAAACTAGTTAATAAATTTGTAGGGATTAAGAAAATTAACTAAGTTACTCATTTATAAATAAACTGTTTGTTAGTTTTCTTAAAGTATCACTTCTAATCATTTGCATGGAAATTGTTACTCTGTTGATGAAAATTCTCCTTAATATGTATAATTAATGGGGCGAGCTTAGGAAAAAAAATTATAAATTTGGAAGATAAAATGAATTGAGATTTTATAATTAGGATTAAAATAAATCCATCTACTAACTCTTACATTTAGTATTAGAGGAAGTATTACAAAAATTCGAACAGGCTATTAATTAATGTCTTTTCAATTATAAATAGAAACATGTTATTCCTAAAAAAAACTTTCTAACATATTTTACAGGAAGGAGTATACTATATTACTCTTGACTAAAAATATTTACCCTTGAGAGAAGCAATGTGCACCAGCATACTTGTTGTCCCAACTAAAGATATCTGGTTCAAGATAGTCATCAGCTCCAAAATTCTTAATTAATTTATTATAATAAATAGCATTTGTTGTCCTAAAAAGCGATGCAACTCCCCCACAATAGCTCATCGTAAATCAAAAAGAAAAATATTAAAAATCATACTCTTTGCAAAACTTATTTGTTAGCCGAAAAAACTTTCAGACCAAATTACAATGTACATGAAATAAGGCATTATGTGATGTTAACTGTACAACTTTTTTTCATTCATTAATTTACGAGGACCATCAAGTTTAACATAGTAAACAATTCTCTAAAGAGGATAAACGTGAAACATGACATATAAAAGAAACACTCATTTTTCTTTGAAAATATCTGAAAATATTAGAATCTGGAAAGC